CCCCCCCCCCCCGCTGCTGAAAAACAAAGCAGGCAGATGTGAATTGATGCTCTCAGATCAATAGTGCAATACCAGAGGCCTCTCTCTTGTTTGTTCCTTGTTCTAAATTGCTCTATCCATAGTGGAGGAGAGAAGAAGAGTATAATAAAGCGAGATGGTGCCATTCTCGGGTATGAGGCTGCAATGCAAGTCGCTGACGACAAAGTCAAAGGATTTTCTTCAGTTTTTGCTCTGAAAACTGCAAACTCGGTCCCTTGAAATGCTAATAAATCTCACAAGACTGAAGGACGACTTGAAGTTTTCTTCAAAAAAAATCTCCACATCCAAACTTTTGTGAACATACATGTGAGCTGCTGCACGTCAACTTGGATTCACACATGCTTATTGATGTTTTGGTGATGCTCTCGACAGGTGTAGATGACAGCCTCGCCCTGAAGAAGAAAGTGACTATAGAGGATGTTTTTGGTCCGGACCTTCACATCCATGACCCAGATGCCAAATGGCTCAGTGGTGAGTGAACAGTTTGGCATTCAGCATCTGCCTCTCATGTCAAAACGCAGAACGTATCCAGACGGGTGTCTGACAGGTGTCGTCGTCGTCCGTGACTCAGAATACACCGTCAGTATTCAAATCTGACCCACTGTCTTGAATTGTCCATGTTGTTATCGTAGTTGTTGTGTATTGTGTGATGGTGCCTATGGGCTCATCACATGGGCTTATAACAGTGATGAAACATCTTTCAGAAAGGAATATAACTTATTACGTTGCATGTAACATTACAATCGCAAACAAAGAACTTAATCTCCTTTCAACAGAAAAGATTCCCATTCCCAATCCTCATATAACTTTATTTCATCAGATATTCTTACTGAAGAATAAGAAACATTCAGTCAACCAGCAATCGAGCATGAAATAGAATTCATTAAAATAATTGCATTGAGTCCTAGCGAACGTCACATAGTAAAGCTTTAAAGTCTCCGAGGGGAGCGAAGGAAGCCGGCTTGAGGGCAGTTTGCAGTTCAAACCATTGAAACTAGTTCTGCTACCATTGATATGTACATTATGGGATATATAAGGAGAAGTAGTTATTGGATCGTGCACTGCAGTTACACGATTTGAAAGAGAGAAGAGATGTGGGGTAGTTTGGAGGCTTGAACAGTGGAGCTTTATGGATGAAAACGGGCGGTAAGATATAAAGTTCACTTCATCTCCAGTCCCACCAATCGCATAACAGAGGTTTCTCTGCAGGGCAGCCATTAAACCTAGCTGTCTCCATAGCTGCTGCTAATGTACCTGCATGTAACCGTGAACACAGAGCTTTTTGACTTTTGGGGGAAAACCTTTCTACATGAGTTTCTACGATCTCAACATTAAAAAAAACACAACAATACAGCTCTTTCTGTTTCCATGGCAAACACTTGGCCTGGTGTTTGAGCTTTATTTTGCATTATGTACACATTCAGCACGCGGTGTACCAGGCGTACAGTAGGATGGTTCAAATTGAACAGATGTAGAGCCGAGCAGGTCTGCTGTGGCCTCTGTGACCTTGGCAAGGTAGAGAGTAGTAAGCTGCCACCTGTGCTCAGAAATGTTGGATCCGCTGACTCAGGGCCCTCTGGTGTTCAACAGGAAAAGTACCTTTGACTTGGATTTTGGATTTTGTTGTGCACTGTATAACAGTCTGGACCAGTGCCATTCTGTGTTGGTAGTAAGTACAACTACTACTGCTAATCAATCATTAATAGAGGTAAGGTCGCAGAGTAATTGATTCATGTATCCATATTACTTATTACAGGATTGAAACATCTCTATGTATGTTAGAGGTCTGGTTGACATCTGGATGAGGAACAGTGATCCCTGAAGCATGTTACATAAATTCAATCATAATTATTGTGTGAAAAGGTGTACAGATGGACCTTATAACATCTGGATTTGAGATACAAATTGGTGTTGGGCTCTCAGAGTTTACCTATATAAACTATATATCACTTTTGTCATTTTCCCAAAAGATCTAAACCCAAGGGCAACTTAATAGCTTCCTTTAGGGGATTAATTTCCATCAGAGCAAACTGCTACTGTAGTTAAAGCTGCAGGAAAATAAATATGAAGTGACCCTCTTTAGTTTAGAATTTCTATCCTCAAACAACTGTCTCCGAGGTCAAAAATGAACTTGGTCGTCTTATATACTATTTGATTCAGGGGTTTTTTCTCCAGGTACAAAACACATTTTGATGTAATTAATGCACATGATACACAGCTGGCCATCTAAAATCCGATAAAACAAAAAGAAAAGATAGTATATTTAATACTAGATTACAATAAATATATGTTGTGCTATCACTCTCCTCTGGTCTCAATCGCAACAACCTGAAAGGTTGTTTCCTGCAGATTTTACTGTCAGTTTCCCTTCAACACTGAACATTATAGTGTGTTTTAGGGTCATACTGTACAAACAAGCTTTTGAATATGTGTTGTAAAAATAAAGTCATTATGATCGTCATTGCTAGTTGCCATTATACAAAAGTTTTAGTTGTGTTTGAAGGCAAAACCCCAGAGGGGAAACAGTTAGTTTTGCGTCTCCATCTCTTTCTACAGCGCACGTACACACAAGCTTATGCATGAATACACCTTGTGACTTGCGTGTAATACATAAATACATTCACATTATCACCTGCACACATGCAAACCCACGTCTCCCACTTATGTGACAGACATGTTACAACCTTACATCTGTCATTGTTGTTCTACTGTGAAGACCGTTCCCCTGATTACTTACATTACCGGCTCATTAGCGTATAATTAGTTAAGTTCCTGTGTCTCTGTGCCCTTCATTCAAGATGGAGATTAGAACGCCCTCAGCCCCCGGCGAAATCCTCACAATCAATTGTGTGACATCGCATCTTGTCAGTTAACTTAATGCAATAAACTTCCATTCGGTGCTAATGACCTTCTGATAAGAAACCCAATGGGACAACCTCACACTTCAGTACTCCTCATCAATATGTTGCGGGCTTCTTTCACAGCGGTGTGTAATTGATCCTGGTTGCTCTTTGATCACTGCTTGCCTCAGTAGTCTTTGGACTCGCCTATGAGTTCCTCACACAGACTCGGATCCAAAGATAACGCAATCGACCTTCAGATTGATCTCTAAAACAATGAACTGCTGCTGTCTGTCTGACGCGTTTATATTTTTTTGCGATATAACACAATGTAATAGCGTCCAACACTGTAAACAAGGTATTAACAAGAAACGTCTGCACATATAAATCTACCTAAAAATGTAAAGCACCATCTTTGGCAACTGAGTCGCTGTCATTTCTCTGTATGACTCTCCGCTCAGATGAAATGAAATTGATTTGGCGTAATCACAGTTCCCATCCTGGACCCAGTATGCACCGACCATTTTCAACCATCGTTTGCGTCTGCCTCTCTTAAATATTGGCAGTAAAGTGCAACAAAACAAACTGTGCAACTCTACAAGATGAACATTTTCACTGTTACAAACAGGTGGCGCCAAATTGATTTGGATCGGGTGTCATGGCCTGAGCCAGGCACTTTGACCATCGCATTTGTGGTGCATTACTTCTGCCGTTTAAAAAGAGAAAACTGTTTGTTTGATCACAAGTCAATCTGCTGAGGAAAACACACTTAAAAAGAGTGTTTGCGTTCCGGAGAGTTTAAAGCCACCTAAAGCCGAGCAGCATACTGCAGCAACATGCAGTGTACTCTGGCTTTTTATTGCTAAGGTAACCGGAGAAAGCAACACTGACATTTAATGGGATCTTCTCATAAAGAGGAGGCTTTTCTAGAGAACAGGATCGACAAGGACAAGAGCATTATAACAGAGGAGGAAGATAAGCTGTGCCGAGTGCTGCCTGCACACTCTTTTAAGACTTGCTTTGATAATGGAAGTGGGGTCTTAAAGAGTAACTTCAATATTTTTCTGAGAGACCGATGTAGAATCAAAATGTGGTCAGTAAACTTTTGTTGCATGGAGTAGTGTGCAGGTGTTTGCCTTCCAGACCAGACCAAGCAGATTCTTCTCTGTAGGGTCCTTTCCATAATGTTGTCAGACAAGTAGAATTACAATCTCAGCCTGTCAGTGGCAATAACGAGCACTTTTAGTGGACGTACATTGATGGTGAGGAATTGCTACAAGCAGTTACATTACAGCTCATGTGGGCTGCTGGCTGCAGCGTCGTTCTCCCCTTTAGACCTAAAAACATGGTAAAAAAATGGGACATGGGTTGAAAAATACTGATGTTACAGTTGAAGATATACAGTTAGCAAACTAGCCAGCAATAGACAGAACAGCAAGAATTTAGCAGTAATGTTTGCAGTGTAAATGCTCTGAAAAATCAACTATACGCAGCAATATCTTTATTCACATTTTCAAATAACTTTCAATAACAAAGATGCAAATGTATTTTCATCCAGTATGAGGAAGAATATCAAAGGCACATCGATTATTGAGCATATTAAAATCAGCCCTTCCCTTACATGTCAGAAAGATAACGATGTGCAAAACAACAACAATAATATAAAGGTAATAATTATATTATGAATTGATTTATACCTTAACAAATAAATAGAAAGTAGATTAAAGGTAAAAAAAAGGGTTAGTTAGTTTTGGTTTACTTGCAATTTGACTTACTTAAGATTATTGACACTATAAAGACCCGGCAGTAATCTGGATGTAGAAACTATATGCCGCTACAGTTTCTCCCATGTCCCTCTCTGATGGTTGACTTTTATTTGCCATTTACAGACAATGAGCTTCTGTATCGTACAAGGAAAGGGGATGTTGTCAAGCTTAATGTTGACACAAAGGAGGGAACTGTTATCGTTCTGAACCAGTTGTTTGTGAGTATCATCTTACTCCATCTTGCTATTTCAGTTTGCTTAAAGAGGAGTGAGTGTACTCTCAGTATACTCCTGCTGCTGTAGCTGGTGTCTTACTTACTGCGAGTGTGTTTTTTGACCCATGCAGGACAGAGCCAGAGCCGCCAGGTACCAAGTGTCTCCAGACATGCAACATGTGTTGTTCGCCTTTGAAGTGAAACCGGTGAGAAACCCTCAGCGTGTTACCTCGCACCGTCTAACTCTTCCAGAAGTTTTCCTTCTTTTAACTGTGATGCTGTTTGTCTCTGCAGATCTACCAACACTCCTATGTGGCCAAGTACATTATATACAGCCTCGTGACACAGTAAGACCAACCTCTGTCGTGTCTTCTTTTCATTGTCTGTCACCTTTTGGTCCTTTTTTCTGTGACTGCACGATAATCTGCCCTCATCCTGACCTGGTGCAGCCAGTCCACTGACGTCAGCCCCATTTACCTGCTTTCTCTGCCTTTGTGGTAATGCATCCAGACCGGCCTGTTTTTAGCCTTTCATCCATCTACGTCTGCTTATTTCCCCACTGTTCTGTATTTGTAGTGAGCAAAGCAAAGTCAGCTTGTGCTAAAAAAAACAAACTAAAAAAAACCCGATGTGGAGGATTGATGAAGCCTACAGTGAGGGAACAAGCCACAAAAACAGATAACTTCCTTGTTCTGACTGTGCATTTATATTCCGATACGCGCTGCATTGTGCATGCATCGTACATAGAGACAAAAACTGTTTTGTTTTTTTAAATTATTTTTTCTGCACAGGGAGACTTGGCCTCTGAAGCCCCCTGAAGTGCATGAAGCCGTCCTGCAGTTTGCTGGATGGGGACCCCGAGGCGAGCAGCTGGTAAGGAGGCCGTACCCTCGAGATTACACTATGAATACTGGCACACTGGTAGAGAGCTGACAGGATCAGCCTGGCATCGCAGAAGAGGCACAGTAGTGATTCATGCTTTGTCGGGTGGAACAGACAAATGTTGTGGCGATAAGAGGTTTATGTGCACGGTTAATGACTACTTTAAGGATTTCCAGGGGGAAATCTCCTCGCTTTGATCTCCATCAAAGGCACTTTAAAGCCACACGATGGTTATTTTCCCAGCTTTGTGACGGCACATGAGCTGGTGAGAGCCACAGTGGCAGATGGCATCTAGGTGGCACAAACTCGTGGCTTGGACAGTCTTGGGTCGCTGGTGGTTGGGGGGCAAAACCATGGCATTGACTTCAATGTGTGTGTGTGTCACCAGCCACATTTAGGGCCAGATCTTGTAAAAACGCACCAGTTGATTGGAGACAGTTTGTAACATTGGGCAAACAAAATTGGTGTCTTCTATTTGGTTTCATCGCAGTTATTTTTGGCATTTTCATTCATTCAATTTCTTCCCTGTTGCTATGCAACGAGGAGTAAGCTTTGAAAAGTAGCGTAGTCTTCAAAACAGCTGAAAGTCTAGAAAAAAACATTTGCACAAAGTCCTTGGATTCCAAAAAGTGAGCTCTTTTTGTTTATTTTCAATTTTTCATCCCTGACATAAGCTGCACAGAGTCATTTTTTTAGAATAGTTCAAGCTATTATAAATTCAACAGTAGCAGGAGAGTGGTACTTTTATTTTGTAAATTCAATAAAACATTATTTTGAGTTGTTAATTACTGGTGGATTCTTTTGACCATGGAAAGTATAAGTATGAATGTTCAGTACTCAATCGTGATGACAAAGGTCCTTCATATAGGGGTTATATGTTTTGCATAACCAGTTTTATTTTTTATTAACAGTGATTTGTAACGGTTTTGAATTATGTCGTCCAGGTGTTCGGGGCGCCAGACCAGTTCTGTTTTTCGGTTTAATGTGTGTTCATAAGAACAATTGAGTCATGAAAAGTGTGTATTCATCTGCAACAGAAAATAGTCCCCAAACAAATGTATAATGTCCTCCTGGCTTAAAATGACTGTGCCCTGCTTTTTTAGGAAATTATAAAGATTTTTAAAGATTTACATCCTCAGTAGAAACCATTGGGCTTGGTGCTGAGTGCAAAGAATAGTAACAGATAAGGTAAAGAGAGACAACTAAGACATGGTTGGTTTTGGTCTTTTCATGCAATTTGTTGGCAATTCCAAAAATATAAAAGAATCTTCTAAGGAGCTTAAAAGTGCCATTGACCCGAGCACCTGCTAATCTTTTGTTTCTTGCCTATACTGCAATACTCCGTCTATACTACCTTGTTGACTCTAAATTAGTGCCTCTTTGGATCGCGGTGCTTAGATAACAGCAGCTTCAAAGGTTTCTCTTCCTCCATAATTGCTCTTATCGCATCATTTGCTTAAATTACAGATACATTGCTGTGAAAATAATAACATTTCAAGTGTGTGATGAGACTTTGCCTGCCGAGGGAAGAAAAGCAGATTAATTTGCATATGGTAATAGCGTACCTGATTGTTGTTACTGTAGCTCCGCGTTTCATTTAATGAACAACCGAAGCCATGCGAGAAAAATGAGATGAGCTCTCGTCTTTTACGTCTCCGTCTGACCTGCCGATGTTGGACATGTTTCTTTTTTTTCCCTCACTCGTTCTCTTTCTCTAAATTTAATGATTTTCTCTAAGTTTTTCACAATTGGAGCAATTTATAATCAAGTGCTTCATCAGCACATAAAGACGTGTTTGTGGCAGTGTGTGTGTGTGCAGTGAAGCATCAGATGTACAGTGAGAGGAGCGTGGAGATGAATCCTGCGACGCTCCCCTCATTAAGCAGCATGCAGTTACTCTACCGTGACAGAGCAATCAGTGAGGCTGGGTCAACACATACACACACACACACACACACACACACACACACACGCACGCACACACACCTGAAAAAGAGGTCATACTGACACAAAAGAGCAGGGGTAAGAATGAAGGGATGGATTTCAGAGAAACATTCTTTACCAAATGAAAGCATTGTGTGACAAAATTGGTCAATAATTCACAACTAAAAACACGCGCTCATACATGAACACACACTCATGAACACACACTCGTACACAAAAAAAGAGAACCCTGCTATACGAGCTCCACAGGTATCTTTGATGTTGCTACTTTCATGTCTTCACCCCTTTGAAATGACTGTATTCCAGCCTGTTGCTTATTCTCTATTTTCTCTCATCTGAATCCCTTGAAGATTGAAAAGTCATTGAGTTACTGCGCATAAGTCAAGACGTTGCCACCTGCTTTTCAGAGGCCATTCACAATCAATTACAACTAAATGCTGTAATGTCAACGAGTCCCCTTGAACCTGGATTCTTCATGTATCTCTTTTCATCATTTGGTGTTCAGATTGTGAAGTTGAATCAATGTTTTGAGGTTGAGTTGGACTTTGGCCAAGATGTAATTCATAATAATGTGGATACTGTGAATTAGATATCTTATGTAACTCTTGACAGCCGCCTGATTTCCGTTATGTTCCGTGGTGGTTCTGCAACATTCGCCAACCACCAACATCCTTTGCTTTGCACAGCCCTGCATTGATCTGTTTTCCTCTGATGTTTATCCCACAACATAAAACGTGGATGTTCTTCACAGCAGCCATAGATCAGAGTCAAAGGAGCCTTGTCTTTCTCTTTCCTGATTCTTGCTCCGGCAATTTGAGGCTTACATTTAACTGAAGAGGTTTCAGCTGACAGCCCATAGTCGCACCAACGCGGCCTGTGCTTCAGATACCAATCAATCCCACATTCATCTGACTCATACTGGCACCAGGCGAAGCAGCGAAAAACCCTGGAGTGGTTTGACTAAGTGTTTTAAGTGTCACGCACTCATCTGCTAGCGGCGTGTCTTAATTCCTTCAGGCGATGCCATCGCTGGTGCTTAACCCAGCAGGCTAACCAACAGTTTAGCTCAGCCATTGGGCCCACTTTAAGAGACCGCATAATGTCTCAATAAACACCGGAGGGGGTGTATGTGCCTGTGGGGCCTCAGCCAGCTCCGGCGCCTTGATTAGCAACATACAGGGTGTCATACTGCTTTGGAGAGGAGTCCAGCACAAACTGTAATTGGGTATCTGTTAATAAAGTGCTGAAGGCAGGTGTTATCCGAGACTGTATTAGCTTGTAGGTGTCACTGAGTGCGTGTTTCTATCTGGGTTGTGATAAAGTCATATTGTGATAAAAAGCCACCGGTGGCTTTAGCCTAAAGTCACGTACTGTAGATGGAAAGATGTGAGATGCAGAGGCTGAGAAGAAGAAGAAGAAGAAGAAGAAAAAAGAGTCCCAGCTTTGCACCACAGGAAATTGAAAATACAGGTTTAAGCCGAGCATTACAGCAAAACGATTCTAGGCTGCATCCAGTGATAAGGAAACTGATCTTTCTTCTGCCTTCATTTCTCTGTCCAGATCTTCATATTTGAAAACAACATCTACTACAGATCGACTGTGGATAACCGAGCGATCCGCCTGGTTTCCACTGGTAAAGAGGGAATCGTGTTCAACGGCCTTGCTGACTGGCTGTATGAGGGTAAGACGTCGACGAACACGGCTACACACACCGACACACAACAAAGCCCGGAATGATTTCCATGTTGCAAATAGCAGACTTGATCCAAAGTCCAAAGACAGAGTGGGAATTTCTGTCAGTTTCAGAATCGACAGCAAGGAATTCAAAAAAGTACATTACACGGCCACAAGTTTGTGGACACATGAGTATCACTCTTGCCTGTGATCTTTGCACACATCATTTAAAAAGTATAACCTGCTATTATATCAGTCGTTCACTGTCCTGGGGAGACTGTCCCTTCAGATTATAGCTCTGATGCTCTGCAGGTGTTTTCCTGACCAGATGTTTTGACACAGTATGCAGAGCCAGTGATGCAGCATCTATTTGACCGAAAAGCAAACTGTAGCTTATCGAGGTTGGCTGCAATGTTTATATTTATGTCTTACCAATTTTTCAACTCATTTCATTATAAGTGAGGTTAAAGCCACAGGTCTGTAGTCCTTACGACAGAATACAGATGTTTTGTTGTGTACAGGCACAAAAAGGGTTTTCTTACAGCATGTAGGAACCGCACAGAGTGATCATGGCATGTTAAAGTTCTCCATATACCCCTTACAATAGCTGACTAGAGCAGGTCTAAAAGACATGAGATGGGAAACCGTCGGGGGGCCGGCAGCTTGGCCAGCAGCTTTGTGTGCTTTGAGAGATTTAAAAACCTCACATCAGCCTCAGTCACTTGAATGAGAGCTCAGCGAGGTTCTGTGTATAGTCTGGTGGTCCAGAGTCACTTTCACAGCGGGCAGAGAACCTGTTCAGGCTGTCTAGGAGTAAAGCATTGGTGCTGGTCGACCCTCACAGCTTGGGTTTATAGTCTGTTATTGCTTGTAGTCCCTGCCACGTAGGCCTGGAGTCGCCCGCTGTCGTAATCTCAAAGGTGTCGGGGTTCTGTTCCGGCCCGGCCAGTCAAGTTCCTCCACACCAAACTCAGAAAACCATTTCTTTTCAGACCTCACTTTGTGCTCGGGGGGCATTGTCACGTTTAAAAGGAAACAGGCCTTAAAAAGGTTTAAAATCACACTGTTGTCTTAAATATCACTGACCCAGTAGCATTACCGTAAATCTGCATTTACTTATATTTGGTACCTTAATATGGCGAATAAAAGATCTGGCGAATGTGTTAGCAAACAGTTGATTATTTACACATCCAGCAGACAGGACACATCATTAGCATTCATTTGGAATGCAAGTCCAATATTCACTCTGTTTCAGCTCACTTTGGGGTTTCCTGAGGGAGTCGTCTGTCTCTTTAGCTGCTTAATGCTCCGCTGCGTTCCCCAGCTAATCGCTTACTTTTTTGTTTGCTGTTTGATGTTTGATCTGATTTAATGCGGAACAGAGTCATTTGTGGAGAGCAACCTCTTTAAAAATCCAGGGAGCCCTGTGATCATTGTTAGAATAAAGATATTGATTACAGACCCTTTAATTGGATCTACGGTGCTTCGATCAAACCTTGTGCACGAACTAAATTGAACCATTTCGATCCAATGTCGTGACACCTGCC